ATTCTGGGAGTTGAAGTCCACACATCTTCAAGCTGCCAAAGTTGAGAAACAGCATACTAGAGAATCACATGCCTATGTAGTCACCAGAAGTGCAATTTGAAGAAGAATTTACAATTGTATGCAAATTAAAACACATACATACAAGCAAATGTAGTAAAATGCCGTATATGTTGCAATAATATAAACATAGACTTATAATTTGAGACCATATATTAGAGTGGATTCCCTGAACTGTTTGCCATGAGAGTCGGGTAGCATACCAGTTTAATATGTTGTTGCTGCTGTTATTATTAGGAGTACTGTATGCATATATGCATGTACTATGAAATTACTAGAAGCTTTAAAATACCCCAAACTATAAGATTTCACAAAATATACCATGCAGCAATTTTAGGTTGGATGGACAGATAGGTAATTTCCAAATCACAGGAAGTAAATGTTCTGCTACACTGGTCAAGGCCCCACAAAACCTGTGCATAACACTGTTCTGGGGACCACACTTTAACCAAGATTCTTAGAAAGCAGAATAGTGACAAAGAAGTACCACAAGGATGATCAAGGACCTGAAACTAAGTCTTATAAAAAAGGATTGAGGGAGTGGGGTATGTTTAGCACTGAGATAAGGGAGTTATGATTGCACTTTTCAACCACTTGATAAAATGTCTCTATCCCACAATGAAAGACATAGAATAATGATCTTACATTACCAGAAGACTGGCGGGATACAAAGTTAGAAAAATCTTCTAAAGGTAAGGATGGTTCAGCATTGGAACTAATTGCCCAGGGAGACAAATATGTTTTCATGATATGTTCATATAAAGGTTAGACAGCCTTTTGTCAGAGATGCTATAATCTGGCTTCTTGCACTGATTGAGCAATTGGACTGACTGACTGAAATGATGTAAATGGTTGCATGAATCATCTTCTGCTGATGGGAGTTTGCCTCCAATAACAGCATTTTGCAGTTATAAAGCCACGTAACAGTTCTGGGAGCAAACATCATCCATCAACACTAACCCCACAGGTCTTGAGCATAGTCCAAACTCAGCTCCCCAATGTTTTGTCCTTATTTTTCTGAAATGCAGTCTTTATATTACCTTTCTTGGCCAGCTGTGTCCCACAGTCGTAAAGCAAAGCATTTGCTATCCAAAACCAGGTTTTTGATCCGATAGTCCATTCCTACAGAATACAATGCAACCATTTAGAAGGAAATTCATTTCAAGACTCAAACTGGCTCAAAAAAACACAACACAACAAAACAAAACAAGACCCCTAAGGAATGCAAGCAGGAATTTTACAGATAACAATAGAACACTGAAGATCAATCATTTTGCAGGCATTAATAAAATCAAGGTTTTACCTAGCATTATTATTTGCAGACAGAGAAACTGACACAGAATGACTTGGGATTTTCTTTCATGTTAACTATACCAACAAAAAGAAAAGAAATCGAAGCTTATGAAAAACCCTGCTAGGAGAAATGTGGTAATGTACAGAAGGTGCACATCCTGCATATGTTTTACTTTAAAGGTGTATGTAGTTCAACTTAAAGCTATTAGTTGGGAGATGCCTCCTGTGTGGATAAAGCTAATTATCTTCAGTAGGGACTACAACAGAGGCAGTAGGAAGAGGTGGAAGTAGGGCCAGCATTAGTAGTAGGCAACAGTCAACACATGCCAAAGCCTACCAATTCATAAAGATTTTCCTCTCTGTAAGCACAAAATGAGTCTATTTTTTTTTTAAATCCCAAGAAATCTATGTTTTCCTTCAAGATACTCAAGGAGTTGTTTAGCTCCTTGTATCTTAAACTTTGATCTTAAGAAAAAAAAAATCCTACTTTGTTAGAGAATATAGATAGTCCCCAGTTTAAGAACGAGTTCCATCCCTGTCCTTAAGTCGAATTTGTATGTAAGCCGGATCAGTATTATTACATAATAATATATATTATATAATATATTGTATAATAATAAATGCCCAGAGTCATTTTGTGTGAGATGGGCAGCTATATAAATGTGATGTATAAATAAATAAATAATACTGTATAAGTAGTATTGTGTAATTAACTTGAACCATTTTGTATTTAACTTGAATTTTGCTGCAGTAGGCTCTGTCCTTAATTATAGGTCATCTGTAAACCAGGCATTCTTAATCCAGGGACTACCTGTAATTCCAACTAAAAGTTATTTGCATCCTCTTGGGTTACATCTGAACAGCAATAAAAACAACTATTATTAAAATATAATTCTTATTATTGGTATTATTTCTGTTGTCATCAATATTTAGCCATTCTGTTTTTTCACCCACTGAATTAGAGTAGGTTTGTAAGCAGAACTGTACCCACTGCTCCTCCTTTTTGTAGACAAGCCTAAGATATAGGGCTAAAAAAATCCAGATGACCAGTAGTCATTTGCTGTCATCTACTGGCCATCTGGATTTCTGCAACCCAGATCTGATAGCCCTATTAACAAAGGCCTAATCAAAGTAAAATCAAAGAAACAAACAAGCCAAAACCAGACTTTTCAACAGGAAAGGCTTTCAACATTTATCACATTATTTTCAACCGCATGATTCATACCTATAGTTGCAGTCACGTTTGCATCAAAAGAGTCATTTTGCAACCTGTTCAAAAAGGAAGTTTTGCCAACATTAGAGCCTCCTATAAACAGCACATTATACATGCAATCTGGATGAGAATACAGAACTGTGGTGTCTTTAGAAGTTTCTTTATTCATTTGGCAATCACAAACTTCTGGTCTAACACTGGTTTCTTCATTAAATTCTGCACTGACCTCTTGATTCTTCTTACACTCAGATGGACCAATCCATCCTTCTCTTCTGTCTTCTGATGAGCATATCTCTAGTCTTTCAGCAAGTTGTATCTGCATTTCTGGCCTAAACATGTCCTGTAACTGATTGCTTTGATTATTCCCTGCATGTAACTTGGGTAGAGCCACCCTGGGCAGAAAATACTCTGGTGGCATAGTTTTCAGCAGAGGGTGCTGAGTATGAGATACCTTTCCACCTAGTATTTTCATTTCTGGAGTCTGGTTTGCCACACCTTCAGTGGACAGCTGCTGAACCTGGATGGTATCACTGTGTTTTAAAACTTTCTTATGTTCAGGTTGGGTTACCTCTTCTAAAACCAGAATCCCCCTTTCTACTGGGCTTTCCTTGTAGTCACTAACTTGTGTTGCCAAGTCTGAGTAAACAAGAGGTTGAATCATGGAAACAAAACTTTCTCTCGGCATTGGCTCTGGAGTTTTGACTTCCTTTCTAAATTTAGAAAAGTTAGCTTTCTTCATCTCCAGATCTCTGACTTGTATGTGAACTGGTCCTTCTCTAAGAAGACTTCCTGCTTCTGAGGTATCCTGACCACTAGGCATTTCAGAAACTCTTTTTTGTATAGCATTGTTGGTTGAGCATTCTTTTATTGGAGAATGAGGTATTTTATTTAGCATTATATTTTGTTGAGAACTTTCATGATGTTGAATTTGATCCAAGGGCTCTTGCTGCTGAAAACCAAAGTCATCTATTTCTTGGTAATGGGATCCAGACGTTTTGCTCAGTGCTGCAATAGCCTCATTCAACTCTTTAAACAAAGAATTTTGGTCTGAAGGCTGCTGTGGAAAGTATTGATCTTCTTCTACAAAAGGCTCTATCAAAGGATCTTCTTCAATGAAAATCACTCTTCTCCTGGATTCACCTTCAGTCACTGATGTCACATCATCAGATGCCCTATCACATCATCAATATGAAGACAAAGAAATGAGTGATAAGGACACAGATACTAGAGCATACAGTTCTAATGATGCAAAAGTGTCTACCAGGAATATGAGGTTCCTACATGCATTAATTATCCTTTAGCTTCTCCACTATTGAATGAGTCCAGGTTTAACTCTCCCTTGCTATGATGGTACAGATAGTCCTTGAGTTACAACAGCAATTGGGACCAGAATTTCCATCACTAAGTGATGTGGTTGTAAAGTGTGATGCATTGTGGCCACATTGCTTAGCAACAGCAATCCCTGCAGTCCCCATTGCCAATGGTAAGCGAGGATCGTGGGTTGTTAAGCAAGGATCGTGGGTTGTTAAGCGAGCACCTCTTCACAACTTCCTGCCAGCTTCCAAGTCAGTGGGGAAATCAGCAGGAAGTTCCAAGTCCTAGGCAGCTCAGAAGCAGGCCAGCAGGCAGGTAAGTGGCTGCTGCCAGGTAGGAAAGAGAACAGGGGGTGTGCAGGTAGCAGGGGAGACCCAGCACAAGCATGGTGGGGCTTGGGGTGGCTGCTGCCGGGTGGGAGAGGGTATGCGAGGGTGCATGAGTGGCCGGGGATGAGCATGAAGCTCAGACAGGGTGTGGATGTATGGGTGGCTGGCGAGGCGTGACTGCAGATGGGCTGGGGGAGGGTGTGCGGGTGGGGGAGACTCACCTGAGCAACCTGCAACCTTCCTTGCTGGCTTCCCCATTGACTTTGCTTGTGGAAAGCTGGCAAGGAAGGTCGCAAATCGCAATCATGTGACTGTGGGACACTGCAACCATCATAAGTGTGAGCCAGTTGCCAAGCGCCCAGATCACAATCACATGACCACGGGAGTATTGGGATGGCTGTAACTTCGAGGAGCGGTTGTAACCACTGCTTGTTCAATGCCATCGTAACTTCGAATGGTCCCTGAACGAGTGGTTGCTAACCAAGGACTATTTGTATTTATTTATTTATTTATCAAATTTATATAGCCACCCATCTCACCAGAACTGACTCTGGGCGGCCTACATCAATCAAATAAAATCACAATATAAAAACAATTATAAAACACTCATTATAAAAAAATATAAACAATCATTATTAAAAATTAAAAACTTGTTTAAAAAATAGAGTATACTGTTACCATTATTAGTATGGAAAAGAAACAATTGGACTTCTATTTTTTTTTTTAGATTTTTTTTTATT